GGGGCATTCATAGGAAATCTGATGCTCACAAAGGTGAGGGAGAAGACACAATGCAGCAAAACAGAGACGGCAATGACAAGGAGCCAAGAAAGCATGCTGAAGAGTGAGACTCAACGTAAAGAAGCTTTAGGAACACCAGAACCAACATATTTGCCAATACTTTCCTTTATATGTAGGCATAGCAGTAAAATATGATAAAAACCCATCTAATTAGGTCTAAAAGGGCCCTTTCAGTAAGTACAAAAGAAAGATTGAGCAGGATAAGAAAGCATTGTGTCGCAGTTTAATTAAAAGCCTTTTTTAATTTCTTGTCTTTATATAAAGTAACAGTGCATCTTACAATTGGCAGCATCTAGGTTTAGATGAAACAGAATTAGTTTGAGGAAAAAAATTAGGAAACAAGGCTCTGAAGCACCCCTGACCCCAAATATTTCTCTGCTGGTTTATCCCTGGGCTTATTTTCTCTGTATTTAATGCCCAGGTCCTACTGCCAGACCTGATTTACAATGTAGGTTCCCCTGGGGGAGCAGCAAATCTGTGTTTCTCAAGGACAGTGGTTCTCAAAGGGTTGTCCCAGGACCAGCAGCATCAGCGTCATCTGGGAACTAGTTGGAAATGCACATCCTTAGCCCCCACTTCTCCACCAAAGACCTACTAAATCAGAAATGGGGTAAGGAGGAGGCTGGTATAATACACCCTCCAGCTGATTCTGATTCATACTAGAGTTTGAAAAGCACTGCTCTAAGAAAAACACGCAGTGCCATCAGCTTGAGCACTCAAGCTTAACTACTCATGCAAGTTGAACTAAAATGTCCTAGGAATGTGTTGTGCACCAGGCACTGTGCTGGGAGTTGAATGTGCCTCACATCCTAAAGAGATACACATGCAAATGACTAAGTAAAAACAAAAAACAGAATGAGGTGACGGCTCACAGAGATGCTTAACACCACGCTCTGTTCAGATGATGGAGGATAAATTCTGATTCAAGAGTCCTGGTGGGCTTCTCGGAGGAGGTGGCAGTGGAGCTGACCTTTCTAAGGGAAGAAGGTTTGGACAGGTTTTCTAGGACAAGGAGAATGACACTCACCGTAAGGAACCAGGACACACAAGGGGCACAAGAAGAGTCACAGTCCTATGAACCTAAGGGTTCATGACTCTGCAACACACTTTAAGAACCTGATTCTTTCAACAGACACCCCCCGCCCTTTGAGTCCTCATCATGGATTCTGCTTGTGGCAAGGACTGCCACGTTGCCACCCCGCATCCATTCACCCTTTCCTGCTCAGGAACAGAACCCTGCTTACATCCAGGAGAGCAAAGCAGCCGGAGAAAACACTTGCTCCCACGGCCTCTACAGAGCTGAGTGTGGCGCTGGGACTTCGGGGAGGCCACTGACGGGCAGTTTGCCGGGGGCCACGTGTGCCCACCCTGGCAGCCTGTCTCCAGTCCCTTCTTGGCTGCCGGCCTAAGGGGAGGACACTGCCGCTCCAGCACCACGTCGGACGCTGAGGTGCTCGACCTTCTGCTGAGGATGGCAAAGCCGAAATCGAATGTCCCAAGAAGGGAAGGATGCCATCAAACCAAGCACCAACCTACTGCCAACGTCCTGACTGCGTGGGTGTGGGAGAGAAATCAACCTCCCTCTGGGTTAAGCCACTGTTACTGGGGACGGTTGTCACATTCTGTGGTGCCTCACTGTCCCCAGTTCACCACTATTTCCACCAGCCTCCTCTTGATCTGCGGCACTCGGGGTTCCTCCTCCTCCTTCACGGGACCCCTTTGCCCCAAGCCCCCATCCGCTTCTCCATCTGCTGCCACGCTTCTTGAGAACGTTATCAAAGAGCCGTCTGACCCTTTCGCCGGACAGCACCAGGCGGGGCTCATTTCCAAGTATCCTCACCCAGCCCACTCCCCCACACACCTGCACCCCCACAGTGTGGCCCAGGTACGCCCCACATCCGCATCACCTGGGAGCCGGTCAGAGAAGCCGACTCTGAGGCCCACCTGAGGCTTATGACCAGGAGATGTGTATGCCCATGACAGCTAGAGAGGCACTCTTGTCAACGTCCTCCTTCTCACCTCTGATCTGAGGTGAGATCATCTGACCGCAGAGTGGGAAATACATTCTTCAGCACCTGTTCCTGCCCTCCCAGGTCTCACGGAGTCACCCCTTCCTACAACTTTCAAAGCAACCTACACTACCCTGAATTGCTTGCTACTCACTCTTCCCTGAACGAAATAATTACTTTCACACTTCCCTGCTTTTGTTTTCATTATTCCCTCTGCCTGGACTGCCCTTCAAGCCCCAGACGCCCTGCAGATCTCCCACTTAACCTTTGAGTGCACTGGCAGCTCAGATGTCACCTCCAGACCATGAGCATTTTGGGGGAGAAGGGACTGGGCTGAGCCTTCTCTGTCACTGAGGTGGACAAAAGGGAGCTCTGGAGCCCATGTTACTTCCTAGAGTGTAATCTTGAACACAAAATGCAACCTCTCTCTGCCTCAGTTTCTTCACCTGTAAAACTCAGGACTCCTGTTTCACAAGGGAGTTCCAAGAAGCCAAGGAGGTGGTAAAATTAAAGCACCTGAAACAATGTGTGGCACATAGTACCCATTTCATAAACACTAGGCACTAATTCTTCATACCAAGACCTAGCGTGGGAATGGACACCTGGTGGGCGCTCCACATACATTCACAGACTCCAACTTGCAGTTTCTGGATTGGCTTCCATGCCTAGTTCTTCCTGGGCTCATGAGTCCACCCCACCCACTCTTCTCCACAGCCCAGCGAAAAGCCGGAATCCGGCCCCCAACAGGGACATTATTTAGATGAAAGAACATTTTCCGCAGCCATCCCAGCCCTCAGAGCCTCGCCAAGAAATAGAAAAGAAAAGCAATATAAATGTTAATAGGAAATTGTCTATTCGCTTTTACTGAGGCTAATCTACTGCAGCCCAACAAAGAGGGAAATAGACAGCTGAAGGGACAGGAAAACATGGGACCTTGACACGCTGAGGCCCAAGGGACTGCAGTTCCTAAGAGGAAATGCATTCCAGGCCAACGAGGCTGTGTGGAGATCGGGACAAAGGGCTTCTCCCTTTGGATGTCTCCAGGGTGGGCAGCATGGGTCCTGCCCTAGCCCCCGCTTTTTGGGCATCCATCATCCTGTGTCCATGAAGTACAGTCACTGGTCCACAGGGTAGGGACAAGGAAAGCGATGACAATGCAATCCCTGTCCCCAAGGACAGGCAGGCAAATAAACCTACATCATCATACAGCATGGAAGTGCTATTCAGGGCACAGGATCAAGGCATCAGGTGAGCAGCAGAGGCACCCTACCAGCTCAACGGGGCAGGGGATGGAGGAGATCCAACGAAGTCCCCTCACAGAGAAAACCCGGGGACTAGGTTCTGGAGGGTGAATAGGGAGGAGTCTCATCCAGGCAGCAGGAAGAGGTGTCCCAGGCAGCAAGAACACTAGGTCCAGGGTCCAGGGACCAAGGAAATACACTGGGTCAAGCTAAATATCGGTCCCCCAAAGATGCCCAAGGCTAATCCCGAGGCTGCCAGGGATGCTACAATAGAAGGCCAAAGAGTCTCTGCAGGTATGATTAACGAGCTTTGAGGTGGGAAGATTATCCTGCATTACCTCCTGGGCCCAATGCCATCACAAGATCTTTAAGAGCCAGGCAGGAACTGCTGGCATCAGAGGACGAGTCAGCGTGCCACCGAGACAGAGATGGGAGCAACACGCCTTGCAGGGGAAGGAATGGGTCACAAGCCAAGGAATGCAAGCAACCACTTGAAGCCAAGAAAAAGCCAAGAAACGGATGGTCCCTCAGAGCCCCCAGACGGAACCAGCCCTGCCTGCTGCCACTTGGACTTCAGCCCAGAGGGACTGGTGCTGGACGTATGACCTCCAGGGGTACGAAAGAATCCACTTGTGGTGCTTGAGACCACTACGTCTGCAAGAATTCCCTACAGGAGCCCTGGGAAATCAATACACATATGCCGTGGGAGGTGCATCCTCAGGAATGCTAAACTAAAGTGACCCAGAAACGAAACTGAGGAAGGGGACAGCCAGGGGCCCAATCACGAATGGATCTGTGCACCAGGCTGAGTTTCCATTCTATCCTCAACGTGGAGCTGCTGCTAACGGATATTAAGCAGAGGGATGATATAATAAGATTGCCCGTGCTAAAGCACTGAATCGTCACATTTTTAGATCTTAAATCTCAGGAATTACCACATGTCTAATTCTCCATTTTATGGACTCATTTCTTTTACCATGGACTGTAATGACATTATGAAAAGAAGGAATAACCTACTGGAATATGTCACTCTATTACCGGCCCCCCAAAGGCCATGCTAATGTTTCTGAAAATGCACACCTGTACTGGTGGGCTGTAATCAGGTAGGAGTGTGCAGGTGCAGACACACAGCTGGACAGGACTGGGCCTTGAGAGTTCCCACCCTCATCTGCTCCTGCAAAATCCTGGATGAATGGATGATTGCCCTGTGCCTAAAAAGACCCCATTCAAATGTTCCCTCCCTACCCCCGCGCCTGAGCCTCCAGAATGGGGAAGGCAACCAATGTATATTGAATGCCCACTTGGGGCCAAAAGCTTTGTGAACATTTCCTTTGCTGAGACACCCCCCACCCCACGATCCTCTGAAGAAGGACACTTATCACCCTTTTGGGCTGCACCCTAAGTGCCAGGGTGGCCCTGAGTCTCCAGTGACTGAGTGCCATTCCCCGGGTGCTGCTGTCACAAGGCACAGGGCCCATCAGAGAGAGCCAGGCAGAGGAGCTAATCCACTTCCCCACGCGCCATCCGCCCCCCAATCTCTGCAAGTCTCTGCCTGCACACGGAGAGGCCTCTAAATGTAAAATTGCAGCCAGCCTCCAGGCTCTGCACCCTTCCCACCCACTGCGCGTGTGTAGCATGTCCCTCACCCACATATACCTCTTCGGGGCCTCCATCAGCTGCGCCCTTTGCCGAATGTCACTCGCTGCCAAAGGGATTGCTTAGGTGGCATGTAAGCAGCCCCAGATCTGAACAAGCTGCGTTTGCTCTGGCACCGCCACCAGCTCCCTGAGGCCACAGGCCAGGCACCACAGGGGTTCCAAGGCAGTACCTGGGCAGCCACCAAAGCAGCGGACCCCCAGAGAAGGGGGTCCCGCAGGCTGCAGAACCCATTCCAAACAATCCCTGGTCCTCTCTCAGCTTTAGTTAAAACACTGGTTCGTTGACTTCACCACGTAGAGAGCCCACAAATTGAAAGCCAGGCGTGCTTTGCACACTTCCGACCCCCTCCCCAGCCCCGGAGGGCTCCCGGCGTGGCGTTAAGGCACCGCAGAGGGCGGACAAAGAGTCGGGCACGTGCCGAGTTTTCAATTTGGAGCTATTTTAAACAGCACTGCTAGGAACCGCTCTGACAGGCTCCACTCTTCCCTGCTCCCCCTTTTCTTTTAGGATCTATATTTGGGGACGGTACATTCCTAAGAATAGAATCACTGAGTTAAAGGGTAAAAGCACAATTTATAGTTCTTATGGTGAACTCGCGGCTTACTCTCCCGAGAGCACCACTGGCATCGCCAGCCACTCAGATCCAGCAGCTGATGGGGCCCTGCCTTAATTCCACGCGGGGCTGGCCACCTCCCCTTCCGAGCTCTCATTTCAACAGCACACAGTGCTCAGTTCGCCCCATTTGGTTGATGAGAACAGTGAGGTTGTGTCAAGTGAAGCAACCTGCCCCAACACATCCTTACAATTTTGAGTGCTTTTGAGACAGAGCCCGGAGAAGATTCTGAGTCCCTGAATCCCCCAGTTCTGCTGCGTCTGCTGAATTATTCAGATCTTTGAGTTATCCCACACTGCTATAACAGCTTTTCCTTATTAAGGCAACCAGAGACCAGGAACTAGACTGGGTACTTCTTTGTTATGTAAACCAGCACATCTACCCAGCCCACTGGCAGGGAGTCCATTGAAATCTGAGCAAGGCATTAATAGGCCCAGTTTATAGAAGACAGGAAAGTGACTTTCCTCAACAGTTCCACAAATGATAAACCTACCCATCAAATGGATTTGAACACAGCACTGTCTCCAAACCCTAAGCATTTCATTCCAAGGTTAGACTGCCCCGAACAGTTACTACCCCCAGATGGGTGCCAAGGAAGTTGGTTTCTAAAGATGGTGGTGAGAAAAATCAGCATTCCATTTGGGTTCATCTTCCCTGGGATGTGCTGGCTGTGTAGTTTGATGAGTGCTGTGTTTATTTCAATGCCGTCCGCCTAGCTGCATACAAATGCCTGTCCTTCTCTTCTGAGGGCTGCTTCCCCACTACACGAACAAGGATCACAAGGATCAGGCCACGTCCCCACACAGGCCTCTAGTGGTCCCTCTAATGACTGAGAGGGGGCCTTCTCATCAGAGCCTGGGAGAGAACAGGAAAGGCCTCTCTTAGGGGTACCCTGCGCAGTGCAGATGGAACAGAAAGGTGACAGTTCCTAGAAAGCAGAAGGAGCTTCCTACAAGGGCAAGAGCATCAGGGTGGGAAAGAAGTCACAGGTTCAAGTCCCAGTCCTGCTAGTAACTCAATGTGTGACCTGGGGCAAGTCAGTCTTGGCCTCACGAAGCCTAATAAATGATAAAACAAATAACTTGATGTAATTTCAGACTCCCCTCTGGAGGCAGCAGGGGAGACTGACCGAATAGCTTTAAAGAAAGGAAAAGATTCAGCAAACCACGACCGGGTACCTGGGTCCCAGATCATTTGCACAAGTAACTTACTATCTTAGAAGTTCTTTTCCTCAAAATGCACAAATAGAAACCCATGGATTGGCCCTTTTCTGCCCTAAGGCAGTGACCATCCTAGATTCTTTCAGACCCCCATCAGCTCACATCTTGATGATACTACAGGTTGAAAGCAGCCTGAAAAAGCAATCATTACCTCCATCATCACGAATGCTATCATCTCAGGAGATCCAGAATTGACACAGGAGACCAATCCCAGCTAAATAACGTTATGACTGATCAAGAAACGCTCCAGAGGGAGAAAAGGAAAAACTCACCCTGGCTTCCCTTCGTTACCATCCTGGCATTAGAAGGATGTGCCTTTTTCCTCGCCATCCTGCCAGTTGCTAAAGGGAAACCACATCTGCCCCCTGGCACAAGCAGTCCGACCGTTTTACTATGTGTCCACCATCAGTAAGATACAGGCAATGCTCAGGTGAGTATGAAAAGCATCCATGCCACACATAACAAAATTCATAAAGTCAAGTTTGGCTTTACCGGAGATGCTCTTTTCATCGTAACTTAGAAAATCTCCAGGTGTTAACAGCTGGAAATGGTTATAGGTTCGTCTTGCTGGGGTTTATGGCTACATTTGCAGTATACAACCAAGATTTTCCAAACACACAAGACTCCAGGCAAATATGCATCATTTCCCCCCTCCTTTCTCCAATTGCTCTGGCTTCCCAGCCAACCTTACCCTCTGCTCCCCATTCTTTGGAATCAAAGGAATTTTAAAAAGAAGAAAAAAAATCAAGCTGCTTTGAGGGGAAAAAAAGAAGTGTCAATTTGTAAATTCCCTACTTGGCCCTGTCTACCTGCAAAGATATAGGAAAATCTAGAAGTAAAAGAAGAGGATTGTGGTTTCCCTTTTTAGTTTCCAGATGGAGCTGCCTCCCACTGGCTACCCACACAACCAAGGGCTTGATGTCACTATTGTGATTTTAGTAGTACTGTGCGGGCCCTGGGGCGAGTCACCCCATAAAAATCCACAAGAGTGAGCACATCTGAGAGAGCCAGAGATAGAAATGAGGGGAACCAATGCATACCTGGCTCGGGAAATGTCCACAGAATCAAGTAGAGACCATCAAATGGACGTCTGTCAATGCACTTATGCCAGCTGGACTGGGCCTCAGCCATGGGAAGGCAGATGTGCCTAAGCAAACTGCTGGAAGTCTGGGAGCCGAGAATGATATAGCATCCAAATACCACCCCCCACAGGACCCTCAGGAAAAACCCCCTTGGCCATTTCCTAGGATGAAAGGCTCAGATCATCAACTACATGGTCTGAAGGAGAAAAAGTATTTTCAACAGAGCCCAGCAATGTGGTATGACTGGCCTCCACACATGGAAGAAAAGGCATTGCTATTTGAACAAGAATGTAATTAGTGGGACTGTGCACCAGGTACTGAGTCTACCTCCCGAGAAGGTGGTCGTGGTGGTAAACATGTACAGGGAGACCTGGATGGGGACTCCAATCTGAACTCCTCTCACTCGGTCTAGTCAGGATCCCTGCCCAGTGCATATCCTGTAAGCTAGACATTACATACCTTCTTGAATCACAGCACCTCTCTTTAGGGGACTGTCACTGTACTGGGTTACTAGTGCAGTCATAACATAGTATTCCAGACTAGGAGGCTTACACAACAGAAATATGTGTTCTCACAGGTTCTGGAAGCTGGAGTCCCAGATCAAGGTGCCAAGAGGGTTGGCTTCTTTTCAGGCCTCTCTCCTGGCCTTGCAGATGGACATCCTCCCCTGGCTCTAAACATGGTCCTCCCTGTGAATGTGTCTGTGTCCTAATCTTCTCTTCTTATAAGGACACCACCTTGTAATCCACCAACGCTGGATTAGGGCCACCCATGTGATTTCCTTTCACCTCAATTACCTTTTGAAAGATCTTATCTCCAAATACAGTCCCATTCTAAAGTACCAGGTATGATGTCTCAAGCCTATGCATTTTGAAAGAAACAAAATTCAACCCCTAACAGTCATTATTATCTGTATACCACTGAGGAACATGACACACACAGGAAGGTTAGGTAGCTTACCAGAGGGCCACAGGTCTAAACTGAGTGAGTGAGCGTAGGCCTTGTACCTAAGATCTAACTTTATCCCAAGTAGTCATTCGCATCAAGCATGCCAAGACTGCTCTAGGATTAAAACTGTTTTGTTGCTGGTCGTTGAGCTAGTAACTTTCTATCATCATGACTCATTCTCCTCTTTTCAGGGTTGTCTAGACACCAGAGCTGTGCACAGCTACCCATTCTCCATTGCAATGCACCGATTTTTAAAAACCTTCATTACAAGCCATTCAGCTGTGGGATAACAACTCTCAGCAGCCCCCATGTGATTAATGCCTGTTCTCCAAAGTGGATTTCATACTTCCTAAGAGCCTCTTGATGGTGCCTTGTGAAAAACCTTGCAGATCACAGTCTCCTGATCAATATTTGCTGAATGCACGAATGTATGGAGGGATGGACAGAATGGTCAAGTTAAGCTCAAAAGACCCTTTCCAGTTTTAATGAAGCTCCATGATTTTGTCCTAGGGAGTAACACACTGGGACAGCTGCTTGACAGCTGAGGAGTACATGAGACCTAAACCCACACCATTCTTCTCTAAAGTGCATCTTCCTCCTACCCAGATCGGGACAGCAGCACCTACGGAAACAACACAGTGATAAGCTGCCATTGAAATTAATGGCCTCTGTCCAGGTACAGAATGATGGAAACCACCAGGACCAATTAAACTTTGCCCTTAGAATTAATCCCAACCTACTTTGATGTACTTTCTTCTCTTGCCAAACACTTTCTAGGTCGAAAAAAGGAAAACTTTACCATCATCTGATTCTACCGTTCCTGTTTCCTATCTGGAGGATGTCACTGCCATTCAACCAACATCTGAGTAGCTCTATAAGCAAAGAACTACCATGGGCAGTTTCAGAAGAAGAAGACAATAGTTCAGGACAGTAAGGTGTTTCTAAGAATTCAAGGAGGTAAAAAACATGTAAGAATGCAGAATAATGTAATACAGATTGTATTAATATGTGTTAAGCCTTTAAGGAATACCAAGGAATAAGTGTAAGGCTAGAATATTAAAGAACAAAAGATTCTCAGAAGAGAGACAGTAAATCAAAGCATCAAATGGGAGACTAAAACCATAATCCTTGCCCTTGGCCCTACACAATGGCTAGTTCTGAGTCTAACAGAGCACCATGGTTATGTAACTGTACAGGTACTGAGCAAGTTAGGAGGAACAGTAGCAAAAATTACAGGACCAGGAGCTGTACCATGTGTCAAGGAGTAATTTGACTCCAGAGAGCTTTAACCACTTCCATTGTCTTA